CAAGTTGCTTAACCCCAATAGTCTTACCAAAAAGAAGAAATTGAAGTGCTTGTTCTACTCTCTTCTGCTGGCCAGACTTAATCGTTATAATTTCAATGTTCCTTGTTGTTTTAGTGATGTTATTATTTTTTACATTTCCTATCAATGGGCAAATGGGGCATAACCCCACTAAGGGGAATCTCTCAAGTTAAATTCTTTGGATATTTTACTCACTTGCTTAGCGTATTTTCAAAAGTTTTTCTAGAATGGTTGGGCCAATTTACAACTCCACCAAGAATGTATTACTGTGATTACTTGTCCACTGACCCCTCCATCATTGAATCTGCTCATTTTTTGTCATCTGTGCTAATCTATTGACTATGAAGAGAGACCTGAGAGTTGTTTTGATTTTGATTTTTATTATTAGCATTTTGAAATAAACTTCCTATATGGTTGATTTAAAAAATGTATTTTTAAAAGATATTTTAATTGCCCAAGATTCACTTTTTCACTGCCCACTGCTCCCACCCCAGTTGAGAACACAAGAAAAACAAAACCCAAGAGAGGATTCTGCGAGGATTGCACAGTGGGTCAGAAAACTTTCAGCTCTCCAAATTTCCTGTACAAAAAAAGATAGAACATTGCCTCAGAGCAGCAGAAATAAACATGGGCTTAAAGCAGTTCTCCTCCTAAGACAATTTGAGAAGACCCCAGGAAAGACCTGACCTCCAAGGGCAAAGGTTTGGCCTGAGTGATGTGCAAGCACCCCCAGGCAGACTCTGCAGATTCAACAAACAACAAGCCCTGGGAGCAACTGGGTTGAGAGGCAGCCTTAGCCTTAGAAACTTTCATCGAATAGAAAGCATGGGGGCTCTGATGACTGAGTAGGAGAAGACTGAAGGACCTTCCACTGTTGAGGGACATCAGGCACAGCTGTACTGACCAGGCAAGTCCTAGGCTGTGGGTGTAGGGAGAAGGAGCTAGTATACACTGGGTGAGTGAAGTAGCAAGGGGGAGGGGCCCTGTTGTTTGTGTGCACTTGCAGGAGAGCTGAGTCCCCCGTTTCATTTCCAGGGCAGAGAGGACAGCTGTAGTTTGCAGCCCACAGGAAGCAACATCATTTGCAGGATAGTGTGGCTGGGGGCCCTTGTTTGTGGCTTAGGAGTGGAGAGGAGAGCCCAAGTTTGGGCCCTGAGACAAGCCTCAGAAAATAACTGTAAGGAAAAAAAAGAAAATAATGGTAAGAAGGATATGAGGCTTGGGGCATCATTTCCCATACCTTAGGACTACAACTTGATTATACTAATAGCTGCCAAGAACAAGATAAAACAAAAAATAAAGACACAAAAATGAGTAAGCAAAGGAAAAAGAACCCAAACAGAGGTAATTACTATAGGGATAGAGAAGATCTGGGTTCATATTCAGAGGAAGCTAATGGAGCTAAAAAAGCCACTCTTCTTTCAATGTGAAACATCAAATGGTCCCAAGCACAAAAAGAGTTCTTGGAAGAACTTAAGAAGGACTTTAAAAATCAAATAAGAGAGATCAAGGAAAAATTAGAAAAAATAAGAGCAATTCAAGAAAATCAAGAAAGTTATTAAAGGAAGGACAACCAACTAGAAATAAAAAATGAAAAACTTAAGGAAGAAATTAATTCCTTGAAAACTAGAATTGGGCAAGGGGAAGATAATGACATTCTGAGACACCAAGAAATCATAAAACAAAATCAAAAGAATGAAAAAATAGAAGAGAAAGTGAAACATCTCATCAGAAAAACAACCAATCTGGAGAACAGATTGAGGAGAAATAACATAAGAAATAGTCTGACTACCTGAAAATAATGATTAAAAAAGAATCTTATTAGAAATTATCAAGGAAAATTGTCCCAAAGTTCCACAAGAAGAAGGCAAAGTAGACATAAAAAAAAAATCCAGGGATCACCACCTGAAAGAGATCCCAGGAGGAAAACTTACAGGAATATTATAGCCAAGTTCCAAAGCTCCCAGGTTAAGGGGAAAATATTGGAAGCAACAAGGAAAAAACAATTTAAATATCATGGAGCTACGATAAAGATTACATAAGACCCAGCAGCTACTACATTGAAAGATTAGGTCTTTGAATACTATATTCCATAGAGCAAAAGAGCTGGGGTTACAACCAAGGGCAACTTACTCAGAAAAGAAAAAACCAACAAAATTTACCCTGTATAATCCTGAATGAAAAAAATGGATATTAAATGAACTGAAAGACTTTCAGGTTTTTGTGACAACATCCCCAAAACTTAAGGCAAAATTTGAAATATAACATCTAGGAGAAATATAAGATAAACATTAAAGACCAACTATAAGGGACTCAATAAGGTCAAGTGGTTTACTTTGTATATGTGAAAATATTAGCAGTACTCTTATGATTGTCATCATTATTTAGTGGTTTGAAAGAAAGTCAAGGGCTGAGCTGAGTGTGATGGGGTGATTCTAAAAAAATAAAACTGTGTGGGGAGAGGTAAAAAGAAGTAATTACCTCATACAAATGAGGCATAAAAGGAAAAAAGTGATACAGAAACAGCTAGCAGAGGGGAGGGAGAGTAGTGCTGGAACCTTACTCTCATTGGGAATGGGTTAAAGAGGGAACAACAGATATCTAGAAGAGTGTAAATGTCTTCTAAATTCAGAAAGAAGTAAGAGAGCAGAGAGATGGGGTTTGAGGAGAGCATAAGGGAGGGACTCTTAGAGGGGTGGATAAGTTAAGGAATAGGAGGGCAAGGTAGTAGGTGGAAGTAAAGTAGAAGAGTGAGGAGGGATAAAGTAAATAGGGTTAGAAGGATAGTGAGGAAAAATGGGAAGGAGGAAAATATGTAAATAATTGTAGCTTAGAATATGAATGAGATGAATTTACTCATAAAACAGAAATGGATAGCAGATTAAAAATTTGAATTCAACAATATGTTGCTTTCAGGAAACATTATTACACAAATGTGAGATACACATAAAGAGAAAATAAAGGGCAGGAGTAGAATTTAGCATGTAAAAAAAAGAGGGGTAGTAATCATGATCTCAGACAAAGTTCAAGTTAAAATAGATTTAATCAAAAGTGAAAAGGAGAAATTACACTCTGTGTCAGCAATATTATTCAATATTGTTTCAGATAATGTAAAATACCTAAACAGTATAAAATATCTGAGCATATACCTGCCAAACACTTCTTATACAAATAAACTCAGATCTAAATAATTGAAGTAATATTTATGGTTCATGGGTAAGTAAAGTCAATATATTTTAAAAATGACAATTTTACCTAACTAATCTATTTATTCAATGTCATCCCAATTAAATTATTTTATAATTTATTTTATTTAATTAATTTACTATATTAATATAATTATTTACAAATTAAATTATATAAAATTATTTTACTGAGTTAGAAAAAAATAACAACAAAGTTCATTTGGAAGAACAAAAGGTTAGGAACTTCAAAGAAACCAGAGGAAAAAGATGTAATGGAAGCAGATTCAGCAGTATCAGACCTTAAACTATATTATGAGGTGAGAGCATTGTTGAAGTGTAAAAAGAATAGTTTCAATTATTTTAAATAAAATTTTCTTGTATAAATAAAACCTATGTAGTCATAGGGGAAAAAGTCCATAGACAATATCTCAGGTAGGATATGATTGGGTCAGAATATTGCTGTGGTGTAGGAAATGATGAACTGGTTGATATAGAAAAACATGGAAAGACTTGGACTTAAGAAAGAAGATGCTATTCACCTTCAGAGAAATAGACGATAGGAGGAAATAAGCATAGTACATTCTTACATATATGAGTATGGATATATATGTGTATATATTTGTATACATATATGTCCATGTTTAATTGTAGCCTTCTTTAGGGTGGTGAGGAAAGGGAGGTGAAAAATAAAGTGAAAAGCGCACAGCAGAGAACAAAAAGAAACCAACAAGAAGCAAATAAAAGTTGGGCAGTTTTGAAAACAATGTGCAGTATTTATTATGTAGATTTTCTTGAAATGGAAATTTATTGTTTTATATTGAATCCCCTCTTATGGTCTGCTGTGTACATGGCAATTTTTTTTCTTTTCTCATTTTGTATTTTAGTTTAAAAAAACTTACAAAAAAAAACCCCAAACCCAAACAAGTAAATCAAACCACAAAAAAACTCAAAACCCATTACAAACATACATAGTTAATCAAAATAAATTTATATATTGACCATATCAAAAAATTTATTTCATGTCTCATTATATCAGGATCATCAATCCTCTCGAATCTTATTATGTGCTCATAAGAGTTGAGCGCAATAGTATTCTATCACATTTATATACTATAACTTGATCATTCATTCCCCAATTTGTGGGCACTCTATAATATTCCCATTCTTTGCCACCTCATAAAGTGTTATAAATATTTTTGTACATGCTTAAGTTTGTTTTGTTTGGGTCTTATCCCTCCGTTAATCTATATCATTCAAGTTTCTCTTCCTCCTTTCTTTCCTTCCTACTTTCTTGTTGAGTGAAATGTATTTCTGTACCCAACTATATGTGTGTGTGTTCCTTCTTTTGACCAGTTCAGATAAGAGATTCAAAAGTCAGCTGCTCCCCGCACTGCTTCCTTGTTCGTATAAGATGTCTACTTGAGCACTCTGATGGTGCAAGATGATTTTCCTTAATCTTCCTTTCCCTCACCCTTTCATGCAGTGTATTTCTCTTCTCCTTTTTCATTCTTTTCTTAAGGTCAACAAGGCATAACAGTATCACTCCCAGGCCTTGTCTAATTGGACTCTGTGTATGGACCCTGAGGATGGTTCAGAGGGAACACATGTGTGATCTCCTCATTTTTGAATGTAAGCAATTTATCCTTGTTTAGTCCTTTATGCTTGTTCATTGGTGTTTGTCTTTTTATGTTTCTCCTCATTCCTTTGTTTGACATTCAATTTTTTTGCAGCTCTGATATCCATCAGGAATGTTTGGAAGTCCTCTATTTCATTAAAGGTCCATTTCCCCCCCTCCAGCATTATACTCAGTTTTACTGGGTAAGTTACTCTTGATAAACTCATATCCTTAGTCTTCTGAAATATCCTATTTCAGGTTCTCCACTTTTTTGTAGTGGTAGCCACTAAATCATGTATGATTTTGATTGTGGATTCTCAGGTGCTTTAATTCTTTCTTTTTGGCCACTTGCACTATTTTTTTCTTTGAACTGGAAGCTCTGGGGTTTTGGCTTTAAATGTCCTGGGAGTTTTCATTGTAGAGTTTCTTTTTGGAGGTGATCAGTGGAGTCTGGTTTTAAGATACCTGTGAAGTTTTCTTTAAGATTTCTATTTTTAGACTATGTAGGCTCTTTTTTGATCATGACATTCAGATAGTCTATTGTCCATTGATTCTTAATTTTTTTCCTTGATCTGTTTTCTAGGCCAGTTGTTTTTGTTATGAGATACTTTCCAGTTTTCTCTATTTTTTTTAGTCTTTTGACTTTGTTTTAATATTTCTTGTTGCCTCATGGGGTCATTAGCTTCTATTTGGTCCATTTAATTTCCAGAGGATTTGTTTTTTGGGCAAAGTTTTGTACTTATTGTGCCAAGCTGTGAAATCTCTTTCCAATTCTTTCTTTCGTAGCTTTCATTTCTTTTCCAATTATCCCCTCTAGCACTCTCATTTCATTTACAAAAAAATTTTAAACTCTTTTTGACTCTTATTTTATTTCTTTCTGGGATTCTAGTTGAGTTGAGCCCAAGCTGTATTTTACTCTGAGGTGTTGCCTGTAGATATTTTGGAGTCACTCTCTTCTTAAGAGTGTAGGGAAGACCTCAAATGTAGAGAGGTCCACCTGTGGTGAAGGCTGTTGTTTGTGATTTGAAGATGAGGCACTATAGACATCTCTAGCCCCTTCTCCCCTCACCCTTCATCAAGGGAGACTTTTAATCTTGTCAGGAGTTTGGGGCCAGAGGTTGCTCTACTTTCCTTATGGAGAGGGGGTATTGGGCTGAAGTTGTATCTGCTCTCTTAAATATTTTTAGTCTGGGGGATGTAATCAGGTTCAAGCAACTTTTGATCATTGTCATTATTATTATTGGGGGAAAGCAGGACCCTAAGCTCTATTTCCAAGGTTTGACCTCTTCCTCGCCAAAAGCCAGTTCCACAAAGAATGCTTAGCAAACAGCAAAGAAAACCTAATCCAAATTGGTAGTAAAACAGAAATCAGAGAATGTATACTCAATATATACTACATATGCCAGACAATACAGAATGAAGAAATACTCCTATTAGGAATGAGAGAACTCATTTCATCCAAGACAGAGAGTCCTGGATATCACTCAAAAGTAAATTGCCCATTGAAGTCTCGTGTAGCAAGTCAGAATAGGACATGATAGAGACTCTCATGTCTTCCCACAGTATTTTCCTTCAGTAACCTGAAGTGAGGTTGGCCTCTTCAATCTTTCTTCTGAAAGGCAGAAGTGCCCAAATTGACTGAAACCTCAAATAAAACTTGGAGCTTGAAGAATCCTGGAGAATATTTGGAGCTTGAGAAGTCCCAAAGAGGATTGAAGAAGTGTGGAATTCTTCCACTCTCTTGCCAACTCTGTTCTGCTCTCAAGTAGGGCATGGCCTTCATCTCCACCAAAACAGAAAGAGAGAGTCCCAAACCAATGGTTTTTTGGACAGAGTTTATGAGTTTGTGTCTTAAGCGTCCCCACCACCACAATAATGCATTGTAGTAGAGTTCTTTGTTTGCTCATTCTTACAACCTGCTTCCTGACTTCTGATGATGTTAGGACTGCATTCTAGCATATGTCTGGACGAAAGGTTTGGGCTGGTCCTGATGCTTTTTTTCTTAAGATTTTGAGTTTTCCTTTTTCCAGGATGTGAGGGACAGGCAACTTTCACTGCTCACAAAATGGTCTAATAAAGTTCAAAATCTCTTTGTTGTCCTCTTTCTCCTGCTGCCTGAGTTTTGCAACTTCTTGACCTGGGCTCAGTCTGTTCAAGAGTAGGTTGCTGATGTATGCAACCCCTATCAGCCAGGTAGAAAGGTCTTTTGTTTCTGAGTGTCAGAATTGTAGGTTCCTCATTTCATTTGGGATTCTTACCCTGATTATTGTGCTGAAGGCTGAGCTACAAGTTTCTGGCTTCTGAACTTCCTCCTTTATCAGAAAACCACAGAAAACCTCCCTACCCAGAGCCCTGACACTTCTTACACTTAGACTTAGCCATCCTTCTCAGTCTACCCTGAGTCTGTGACCCATGGCACCTGTCCTCCTTGTGGTGCTCTAGTACAGATCTGGGGCTGTCTCAGTATGGATCTCCAAAGTCTTTTTGCCTTGGGACATAGCTTCTTCCAAGGTATTTCATTATAAAGTTTCTGGAATGATCAGTGGATTTTTCCAAGTTGCTAAAGTGCTCCCATGATGGGGTCCTGTCTTGACTCTGTCTCCAATGTCCACAGACCTCCTTTTCTGTCTCACTGTGCCAACTTGGGCTAGACAAAGGACTCATAGTTACTTTTTCTGAATTTTGGTCTGGTGTGTTTTTTAGATCTGTTTGGAGGAGTTTGTGGATGGGATCTCACCATACTGCTTTGTAATGCTCCACCATCTTGGCTCCTTATTGCTTCCATATGGTTGTTATAGTTTGCAATATTTCTTTGAGAACTGTTTATTCATATTATTTACTATCCATCTATTGGGAAATGGGTCAAGGTCTTAAATATTAAAATATATTCTGGTATTCAATCATAAGTTTGGAGTTATACAATGGGGATATAATCATGAGAAATGCATAATCATTGATGGCACTTAAGTAACAAATCACTTGTGCTCTGTTTTCTTCAGAATGCCTGAGAGTAAAAGAGAACTTTAAAAAATGGAAGGGGCCAATCAAACCATTGTGACAGAATTTGTCTTGCTGGGCCTCTCTGGCCACCCAAGGCTGGAGACCATTTTCTTTGTTCTGGTGCTGTGGATGTACCTGGTGATCCTTCTGGGCAATGGTATCCTTATCATAGTAACTATCTATGACTCCCACCTGTACACACCCATGTACTTCTTCCTTGGCAACCTCTCCTTCCTGGACATTTGCTACACAACGTCCTCTGTGCCCTTATTTCTAGACAGTTTCCTCACTCCAAGGAAAATAATATCCTTTTCTGGTTGTGCAGTACAAATGTTTCTATCCTTTGCAGTGGGAGCAACTGAATGTGTGCTCCTGAGCATGATGGCATTTGACTGCTACGTGGCCATCTGCAAGCCCCTGAGATACCCTGTTATCATGAACAAGGATACTTATGTGTCAATGGCTGCTGGGTCATGGATAGCAGGAGGCATCACCTCTACAGTGCAAACCTCTCTTGCAATGAAATTGCTCTTTTGTGGAGATAATGTCATCAATCATTTCATATGTGAAATCCTGGCTGTCCTCAAATTGGCCTGTGCAGATATCTTACCTAATGTGATTAGCATGACACTTGCTGATGTAATTTTTCTGGTTTTCCCAGTGCTGTTCATTTTTATTTCTTATGTTTTCATCCTCTCCACAATATTGAGGATTCCTTCAGCAGAGGGGAGACGCAAAGCCTTTTCCACCTGCTCAGCCCACCTGACTGTGGTGATTGTATTCTATGGAACAATCTTTTTCATGTATGTGAAACCCAAATCTAAGGACTCTCTTGGAGTAAGCAAAGAATACATTACAGACAAGCTTATCTCCCTGTTCTATGGTGTTGTGACTCCCATGCTCAATCCTTTGATCTACAGCCTGAGAAACAAAGATGTGAAGACAGCAGTGAAGAATTTGATGGGTCAAAAGCTCTTCGCTGAGTGAATTCAGACAACCTCTATCTGATCCTTGGGAAGGAAAGAACATACATGCAAAGATGAACTTGAGAAATATTTAAACAGAAAGGTTCTATGTAACAAAACAAAGAACCTATTTTATTTAGCACTCATTATAACTGCTATTTCAGACAACAAACTCAATCTCTAAAGCCAGCTAATGTAAGAAGTACTTTGTCATGGAGGTACATATTTGTCTGGTGTACAAAGTATGGATAGTAATGAAAGGAGCTTTACTGTTCTATTATTGACCCTGAAGAAATAATTCATCTTCAACTATCTTTTTCTTTGCTCATTATTTTTCAATTATATTCATGTTTCAATTATTCTAGCCTGACCAATATAAAAGTCTAGGTAATATTTCAAGCCACTAAGTTAATCTAAATAACAGTAAGGCACACGGGTCTGAGAGCTTTGAGCAAGAAAACTTGGAATGAAAAGAGAACCAAGAAAGTTGAACTCTGAAAGAGAAAGAATTCTACCTTATACCTAGTATATAGTAGGTTCTTAGTGTCTTAATTAGAACTTAGATTACTAAATTAGAACTGTTAGAACTTCTACAAAAATCTTCTTTTCAACTACTTAATTTTTCTGTGAACTCTTTTCTACCTTTGACCCATGTAGATACAGAATATTAATATTGTATGCATTAAAGCAAAATCTCAATAAAATTTTTGTCTTATATAATTTATTTCAATGGCATTTGAATGTTAACTACTATGAAAACTAATGGTCAGATAATAGAAATGTATGATACTTTTAGAATTAAAGACGGAAAATCAAACACATGATAAAATTATGAAAAGTACTTGTGTTCCAATTAGACATTCATTAATATTATTTGACTACAGGTTTCAAATCTGTGGTATCTAAAGAAACTATTTGTTAAAAGGAAGGTTCTTTGAAAGTAATTTTTCTATGTATTTTAAAGGTGAAATATAACATAATTTAAAAATTACAGGAGAATGGAATTGATTGCTCAGACTTTGAGGAATAACTAAATAAATGGCGGTGGCTGAATATAATGGAATATTTTTATGCCATCAGAAACTGCAAGTGTGATGAATTCAGAGAAGGAGCAGACATAAAAATTGATTCAGAGTAAAGTAAGTAGTGCCAGTAAAACCCCATAAATAATGATTACAACAATGCCAATGAAAAGGAAAAAAAGAAACAGAACATTGTAATTATAATGACCAAACTTGACCAGGTGAAATTGAGAAAATTCATTGTCCTCTCTTTGAAAATATTCTGAGTGTGGAATATGTTATATAATGTCAACTACAGTTGATTTATTGGTTCCTTGTATTAACTTGCTTTTCTTTTCTTTTAAACAAATGTTGGCTTTTTGGGTAGAGAATGGAAGAAGGATAGACACAAAAGTGAGGAAAGCTAATCACATTGAGTAAGATATTTACATTGGCCCATTTCAAAGTAGTCAGGATTTCACATGTGAAATCATTGATGCCATTATCTTCATAAAAAGGCAATTTCATTTCCAGAAAGATTTGCATTGTAGAGGTGATGCCCTCTGCCATCCAGGATCCATCATCCATTGACATGTAAATGTCATGATTCTAGGGCATCTCAGGGGATTGCAGATAGCCACATAGTGGTCAAACACCATCATGCTCAGGAGTACAAACTCAGTTGCTCTCATAACAAAACACAGAAACATGCCTTAAATTTTCAAATCAGTAATTATGGATAGTCTAAATAATTAGCAGTAGGATTTCATGAATGTGATGCCCACAGTGTCCTGAGCTCCTTTCTTTTCAAGTTATGGAAACCAAAATATCAACTGATTTCTAGCCATGTCTAATCCAAAACACAGTTTAATAGCTTTTGGGACATAGTTGCAAATTGCTTTCCAGAATGTTTCACAGCTCTACCTTAGTGTACCTATTTTCACACATTCTTTCCAAGATTTGTAATTTTTCTTTTTGGCAATCTTAGCCAATATGTTGATGTGAGGTGGTACCTCAGAGTTGTTTTAATTTGTATTTTTCCAGTTATTAGTGATCTAGAGCATTTCCCCTTACATCCTTTAAGAATTTGAATTTCTTCCTCTGAATGTGGCCTATCATATCCTTCCACTATCAGTTGGAGACTGGCTTTTATTCTGGTAAGTTTGACTCAATTCTCTGTACATCTTAGAAATGAGATCTTTACTAGAAAAACTTATTGCAGAAATGTTTTTCTAGTTTTCTGCTTTCCTTTTAATTTTAGCTTCATTGATTTTGTTTGTGAAGAAACTTTTTAATTTTATATATTCAAAATTACCCATTTACTTTTCTATGTCCTGTTTGATCATAGTCTCTTCTCCTATCCATAGATCTGACAGATTTTCTTTCCCATGCTCCACTAATTGCTTATGATGTTATTCTTTATGTCTAACTCATGTACTCTGTAGTTGCTTAATAAATGTTTCTTGACTGAAAGACTACTTATCATTGGCATCAAATGCCCACATATGTACAACCTGACATAAATATAGATCTGCTGACATGACTTTTGAGAATCCCAGGACTCAATGGAAAGATAAAAAAAATCTGTTGAAATTAATATGAATTTAATACAATTGCAAGGAAAACATAAATGGAATACTTCGTTAGATAAAACTATAATAAAATTCATACCTAAAAATGAAACTATGTAGAGGTCTCAAGTGACATTGTGGGGAGGGGAGTAAAAGAGGTGTGAAGACTTCCTTACAAAATCTCAAAGTATAACAATAAAGGGCTAATTATCAAAACTGTATTATACTGGTAAAAGGAGGGAATTCATATTGTCAGAATTTGTGTTTTAGGACTATCAGTTTGAGACAACTATTTGGAGGATGGGTTGAGAAAGAGAATGACTTGAGGCAGGGAGACCAATTAGGCTATTGATTTTATTTAGATGAGAGATAATTAGGGTCTGAATTAGGGTAGTGGTTTATAAATATAAGTG